ACCCGAATAGTCCGAACTCGTTTCTGGGTAAAAATCAATGACCTGGCAAGTTAGATATTTCAACACCTTTGTTATTGGAAGAACTGGCACATAATGTGTGACAAAAATATCTAAATCACGTCAATTTAATTATGCATCCATGTGATGTTGATTTCATAGAGAATTATATGATAAAAGAATTTACTTAAAACAAAGCTATTATTCAGTTGGGTTCCCTTTTAATAATTAATAATATATAATAATAAYTCTCATTTATTTGTAGAATAAGGCTTCCGTTTCTGTCGAAGCAGGGTATGGATCATTTAGTGGTTCACTTTCCGTTGACTTTGAGCTGCTAAAAAAATCCACGAAAGAGGGCTGTGAATTTGGATCAGAAGAGACTGAGTTTACCATTGGCACTCAGGAAGAACCTGAGCCTATAAAGATTGAATTGAAACCACTTACTGAMCTTTTTGTGAAGAAAATGTATAACGAAGAAAGTTTAGAGAGAGCAAATTGTGTTTTGGAAGAAGCGACACTGGAAACAAGGAAAGGCCATCTATTGACCTTCTTCTCGGAATACCCGCGGCTCCTTGCCGTGGTGTCTCCCGAAAGTAAGCAGGAAACTTCAGATTTGACAACGAGTATACTGGAAAAAATCGAGCGCTTTAAAGGTTGTAAATTTGATGTAAATATTATGTAAGTGTCCAAAATGATGTAMATTTGATGTMAATTTACATCAAATTTAAACATCAAATTTACATCAAATTTACAACCTTTTAAAGTGAACGATTCTTTCCAGACGAGATTTCAAACAGACTTWTATTTTGTTGTCCATACTGARTTTCAATCCACTCCGTGTTTTTATTTCTTTGATGTTTCAATCTWTTCAAAGGAATGCATTTCATCATTAATAGCACACCTAAGACTAATTTTAAAACTCKTACTCGTACTCAATTTCGCACTCAAYGTCAAATCTGAAGTTTCMTAGTAAAGCCATTTACAAAAACGAGTAGAGGTCTAAAAACGGGTTTCATTAAAAAAAAATACGTATACATTTTGTAGCTTTGACTTTGTATAGTCACCAGAGRAACTTCAACTTTTTAAAATTTACAAGAACATACTATGAATGGTTTGGGAAAACGGGTTTCTAATTGAGTTCATTAAAAATGATGTGTACATTTCATAGAAAAGACTTTGTATAGTCACCGGAGGAGCTTCAACTCAATTTATAATTTACAAGACATGAAYGGTTTGTTGTGTGAATAGCTGTCTTCCATTTCTTCTTTCTGTAAAAGTTAACATGGATTCAAGCTTAATTCTCCACGTGGATGAAAASCAATAATTTCTCGTTTTTGCGGCTTTAAACTGCACATGACACCTTTTAGGAAAACGCTTTTATCCGAAAGGTAACACGGTGCCAAGCACTTCTGTGAAGAAAGAAATAGATTTTGAATTGTATTTTCTGAGTTAWAGACATYTGAAAATTGAAAATGCAAATGAAGTGACGTCAACTAAGGAATTGATCCAGACTTTTACATTGCTTGCGCTATGCTGTTCTTGGTTGAAGAGCTCAAATCATCAATCATAGTAATAATTGAGAGCTGAAAATGCTTATTTCCAATGTAACAAAAAGAATAACCTCCTCTTTCATGATTTTGTATATTAAATCATTCCTTAGTAGACGTCACATCATTTGCATTTTCTAAGTTTCAATTGCCCATAACTTAGAAAATACAATTTAAAATCAATTTCTTTCTTCAGAGATGTAGTTAGCAGCATTTTCTCTTTTAGATAAGAATGAATTTCTAATGGTGTCATGTGCACTTTAAAGGGCAAATGAYAGAGCAGAGTCACATGAACCATGAAATAAGAACWAAAAAATACTAACTAATAGGCACTATTAGTTCCTAATAGTCGTTAGCACTGAACCAGAACAGTTTATTTGATCCAATAAGCAATACCCAAGGGACCACTTTAACAATCAAAGTAATCTCTTTGTACTGTTCTGGTTCAGTGATAGTGTCTAAATAGTGCCTATTAGTAACTAAGTATTTAGTTTCTATTTCATGGTTCAAGTGACTCTGCTCTATGTGAAAATGACCCATTTTGGAAGAATCTTCTTCCATYGATCGGAACAACTGAAAATTGTACTTCTTGCCTCTGAAAAGAAATCCTGCTTTTTTTTAAAAAGATATTCAATTATTATTTACAATTGTCCGATCTTTCACCCGACGTTTTTATTTACCAAGGTAAAAAAAGACTGCAGTATTTCTTTCTTGTTCACTATATTTTATAGATCAAGAAGTTTCGCTTGATTTAAACTGGCCGAAAGGTACCTATGGTCTCCCAAGGCCTGACGGAGAATGCCCTACTGGTARTGGTTTYACCTGGCACGAAGGAAGATATTACCAGGATAACGAGGATGCAAATCATTGGCAAACAGGAAGCGAAGATAATCACTTAGCGATACAGCTCGTTCATGATAACAAATGGAAAAATTCACAGCAACGGTTCTGCGTTAAGACTCAAAATACACCAAACAACCTTATATGGCCCAGAGGATCATATTGCATCAACAAGAAGGGTGAWTGCTCAAATGGTAATTATAATAGTTGACATTGAATTATACCTCGAACAGAATAGAAGTCGCACACAAGGAAAAAYGCCATGCATAACGCTAAGTCATTCMTTATGAATGAGATTCATACACGGCGCCTCGTCTTGACACYTTTGTAATAAAAATAGTCTCCTTCACGGCTCCCTRCGCCATCTTGAAAGGCAGCCGTGCCTTTGCATAGAACGAAGACGAGCGTTAATTGTGCAATGACAGCARTATTCATATCTATCGATATGCTTTTGGGCAGGAAAAAGAGTTCTCACACTTGTCAATTTCCACACACAGGGTTTACTGCAGGGAAGGTGACATGGAATGACGAGAAATCAGACAACGACAATGAGTATTCAGGTGCTCTCCCTGATGGCGGCCAATCGAAAGAAGGCAACCCCAGTACCACAGTTGAATATTGCTGTCGCACAGACGATTACCCTGAAAATGAAATCTTTTTGCCCTACGACAAACCCTTTTTGCTGTACATGGCTCCAAATAACCATGAATGCCAGCAAGTCTATAAGATGAATGTGCAATCTGAATGGTTTAAATGGAATACCGAGGATGATAATTCTGCAAACAAAATAGAAGGAACCGTTCCCGCTGGAGAGTATGGTCAAAATATCAAGCAGAATTACTGTTACTACACACCTAAAACAAATCCTTGAACCCGAAACACTGAGATTTTGCATGGCAAACAATTATCGCATGAAGATAACGGTTCATTATTATATCCATTWAAATACAGTTGTATTATCGGTATTTAAAAAAGCAAATTAAATTAAAAAAGAAGAAATAAATATTCAATTGCTGTTTATTTGTACATGTTTGCTTTAGAGATGCTAAAAAGCAAGGCAAGTCCTGTTTTTTTTTGGCCTAGAGGAAATCAAGAAATTCCAAACAACTTTCACAATGAAGAACCAGAGCCATTCCAAACTAACAACACCTCAGCCCGAAATGAACTATTCTGAATAGGCTAGCGRCCAATATGCATGACGGATAGTGTAATATTCTTCTCCGGGCATKTTATTCATGAGATAGAGATAMGGAATGGGGATAGCGATGACCTGGGACACTTAGGCCAAAGCGAGAAGTAAAAACTTGTTGTCAGGCAATTCAAACCCGGCTTCCTCGGATGGGTGGGTGGGATGAAGACGATATATTTTCTTTCGCGGCTGCCTCGAGTAGAGTAGCACAAAGGATACCTTGGAACACCTTTTATTATCTCATTTGCATAATCCCCAGGGAATCAAATTAACAATGAAAATTGAGTAGCCTTTCCTCGACTTCTCATATACAATTAAATTAAAGKCAATRGACTTGTTCCCCTTTTTGGTTRCAGGAATCGAAAAAATCGTGTTTTTTTATGTCTGGTTACCTTGTGAATTTGACATTGTTTTCGGCTTCTTTTCCCTCCAAAATCGTGTTGCTATGTTGGTATCCAAGCACGTGACCAAATCCTGCAAATGTCCTATTCCTCATTTGTAGTTTGCAAGAAGTCTTTTTAGAGTATCCGTACAATTAGGTGATTTCTRATTTTGGTTCTCATAGACATGCAGACTTCTGGCTATTTCCTTGCTCTTGCTCGTTTGTATACACCTTATTGAAAAAAAAGTGTTCTAAACGGTTACGTCATCATAGCTAAGACCGAAAGGGATGATGGGAAAGCAAATAATGCGAGTATAACATTGTTTTAGTGTTAAAAGATTGAAGCAGATAATCTCCACTTTGCTATCGCGCAACTCAAGTCGTACGTGTAGACAGCCTTGCGATTGTTGCCGCGATCTTCGCGCGACTTCATTGCAAATTGATAAAAAATGCCATATTGAAATCTCACTCGTGCAAATTTTCCCTAGTCCGGTAGGGATGGTAAATATTATGTACTTATTGACTGAGTGGGAGGGCCGTACGGAAAATATTTGGCTCAAGGTTATGCCGTACGGACCGAGCGCAGCGAGGTCCGTACAAATGACCGAGAGCCAAATATTTTCCCGTACGGCCCGACCTTACTCAGTCAATAAGCATTTTATCATATGACAGCGTTTTTTAATCTAAGAAAAAAATAATAGCGCGCGGAACTTCAAGCCGGGAAAATACGGGTTTGTACGGACCTGTCGCGAAAAGGCGTACGGACCCCATCACGTGACCATTTTCCAAAGGTTTCAGTGAGAGCGCGCGTAGGGCCGAAATACGGGTCATATGATAATGTATCTTTTYGCATCTCAGGCGATGGTAGCGCAACGAGCGAGGKCAATGTAATATGCACGTGGATGTATATCTCATATTTTACTGATTTACTCCAATATAAAGTTCTCGTCTGCTCTGTGCCTCAAAACCAAGCAACCTACTCTTTTGTGTTATTAATAGCCCAAAAAAGCGCATGGAATTTGTAGAGAAAGACAACATAAAATTGGTTTGAAATCTCACACGTTTATTCTCACAATTAGGAATATATTGTACACAAACATGGAGGCTAAATTCGCCGGATCGAATGTTCTGCTCACTATAACGTAGAGATCGTTTTGAGCGGGTGACCATAAGATAAGATTCCATAGTTACTATCTGATTAGATTTTGAAGATTTTCCGATCATAACAATTTTCTGCAAAAAAAAAAAAAAAAAAAAAAAAAAAACAAGCATTTTACAGCAATCATTTAAATATCAAAATAAGAAAAACCGAACCCAAACTATTTATATTTTCAAAGATGGATTGCGGTCGCAGATAAAACAATGCCTGGCCCAAATCACATGACCACGTGACGTGACCAAAAACGTATGGCAGTTCTGAGAATCTCGGTTCGGGGAATATCTTTAAATATATTCAATATTTCTATAGCACTTAAAGCGCACAAAATAACGATTACAAAACCATCAACTCTCAAAATCAAAGAATTCTTGTCAGAAATAAGATTTGTAAAAAAGAGCTCCTAGTGAACAGGAAAAGCAGAGTTGAACTCAAAGCTAATGATCAGAACTACTTTAAATTAAGGAATTTGATATTGTTTAGTGTCAGGCATGCAATTTTTGATGATTTCGCTAGATTCTTGAATGCATATTGCACAAGTAAAATCGTCATATAGAGCAATAAAAAAATATTATAAAAATCGTTATGAAAACGTTTACTTTATCGTTCACAAAATATTGCTTGTGATCAGCCATTTTTTAAATTAGTCACCGTCCAAAGTATTACAAATTAAGTAGAAACATGCCTGCAAATGGTGTTTATAACAGCTTAGTTTTTTGTGACCAAGGTTGTAGAAGAGTTGAGTCTTTTCCACACTTCGATAAGTCCAGTGATGTGATCAATATTCAACCAGCCCTTCAGAATATTCTCCTGATGCAAGTACTTCGTGCAATCTTGAATCACCTTCTCTTCAAGGTTTTGAGAATTCCAATCTATGGAGTTGCGACTTTCTTGAAGTATTTGGAGGATCTTTGCCTTKTCTTCAGTCCAGTTCAAACTTTYCTTCAACTTTTCMAACCGYTTGATGGCTTYACATCKCTCTTCCTCGGTTTTAGGCAAATTTTGGATGTCTTCGTCAATCATGGCAACAGTGTAGTTGATCACAGGTGTGTAGTAATCTGGCAATACTACCTTGTACATCGCACTTAAAATACAGCACGCCATTTGAGCGAGGACCATCATCGCGAAATTTTGTTCATCAGCGGGYACTGGTAAACGTAATGGTGCGCCTTCGACGTAGCGTTGGTGCCTTCGAACTTGCTGAATTTCAGCTTTTAATTGCTTGTTTTCTTCTTCAACATTTTCAAGAGAATTGCTCACGTCTTTCATCTCTCTTTCCAGCTCGAAGTTCTTTCTTTCCAGCTCGAGGTTCTTTCGTTCCTGGACTTCTCTTGAATCAGAGAGCTCGGCAACTGTTTCCTTAACGGTCTTCAAGTTAAGGTTCACGGACGCTAAGTTTACCTTCACTGACTCTAACTCTTGTTCGATACTTTTCTTCTCTTCTTCAAGCTTGCGAATTCTCTTGTTCAGGTTGTTCACTTCACTACACTTGTTTTTGAGTTGGAATTCAAGATCACTGTTCTTTGTCTCAAGCTCTTTCACACGCTTTCTCAAATCTCCGATCTCTTTGTTTTTGTCGATGAGTTGCTTCTTAAGGTCTTCAATATCTTCTTCGCACTGCTGTGCAGAGACGCGATGAACTAATTTAACCTCTCTTGTTATTCCGATCTGAAATCCGTGCTGTAGCTGCTCCCCTTGACCGTCGTCTTTATCATTATGAGGTCGCAAACCACTCATTGTACCGATAGATGGTATCCACTTTCAAGAATAAGACAGCTAAAAAGAATTATAGTTTGAAGCGAGTCGAAGGAGTTTAATCACATCTGGAAATTTTGTGTGACCAATTCCGGGAACTATGAATTATTTATCATAAGTATGACGTCATCTTAATCCAAAGTGTAAATAACTTTTTCCGGTTTTCATCATAAGTGCTGTGACAGATTTTTCTTGATATTTTTTTAATAGACAACAAGAATTTTTGTAAAATTCAAAGGTTGAAGATTAGTAACAACATAAACTCTTGTTCTGCAGTGGTACAAAAAGTGCTTCTTACTTGGAAGGCATCAATTGTGCACGATATGAAATCTCCAAGCACAGGGGACTAATCCAAAATATTCTGCTTGTCTATGTTTAAGTCTTCCTTGTTC